ACACTAGAATTGGCTCTGTTCGATGCACTGAAATTGCACACATCCCCTTTCCCCCAACGCCATCCACCTTTCACTTTCTTTTTATTGTCATCATACAATTTAAAAAGTTGGATAAAAAATTATTTTAAAAAAATTAGGGTGATAAAATAATTATGTAAAGTTATGATGGTAAAACTATATTTCTAAAAAACTTAAATTAGTGGCTAGTTTTAAAAAAAAAATTGAATTAGGAATAGTTAATTAGTGAGAAGAGGAGTAGTTACGTGAGATATGTGTTGAAACATAATGATTAAGTGATAATTAAATAATTAAAAATTCTAATAAAAAAGAAAAGTGGGAGAAAAAACTTCTCAAGCTACCTCCCACTTAATTTGATTGTTATATATATATATATATATTGACTTACACTAAGCATGTATTACCACCAAACAAACCAAAAATGCAAGTAGTGATAGAAGATAATTTCACCATTAACTTCGGTAAATTGTGTGTGTGTGTCGAGAGTATGCTCCACTAAGGAGCTGGGAGATGCCCGCCAGTGCCCAAAAGGATATTTTTACTGATGTTCTTAACTTTAATGAAAGCCGACTGATGGGAGTTTGGCTTTAGGAACCTTTAGTGAGAATTTCAAAACTACAATTAGGGAGACTAGAATGGAAGTAATGGTGGAACCACTGGGTAAATAATGGAGGAACCTTATCACAATTAAAAGCAAACAGTGGAAGCAAAATTCAGTTGGTAAGCTAATGATATTGTGGTCTGGAAAGATAACAAAACAAAACGACAAATTCTAATAAATCAATCATCTTCCAAGGCAGAATCGTAAATCGTGTATCATTTTTCCCAGTAATCACTAGGGTTTTAACCCAAAAAAAAAAAACGACAAGATCTTGTGGAGTGGATAGAAAAAGCTTGTCACCTCTAAAAGCTCTACAAGATCAAAAGGTAGAAGGTCATTTCAAATGGGATTGTCTTTGCTCCCCATTTATAATAAGATCTTAAATCCCTTTACTCAGACCCACCAAATGAATAATGGAAACACAAAAAAGAGAAAAAGAGCAAGTGATCTTTTTAGTGGATAAAGAGAGAGAGAGGAAGAACCTGTGTTTGTCCCTGAATGTGACACACTAACCCTCTTCAACTGTAGTTGTACAGAGATCCAATCTTGCAGGGTCTGTCAATTTCATAGGATTTGTTCTTTGGGAGAACTCATTTGCCCCACCTTTTGTCTCATGACATTGTGACCACTCCACCACCATGTTAGTTGCCTCGGGTGATGGACCTTGATGTTCCCTCCCCTCTTCCCCACCTGAGCCTGTCTTGTACTGAAAAAATAGGGATTAGGGAGTAATTTCAACTCAAGAAATTCTGAGTGATTCTAGAAAGAAGTGGGCATGTGTTTGCAAAAAAATGTATACTCATGGTCACCATGCAATATGCTAGGAAGGATGGACTAGATACAGACTTAACTTCTAGAATTGTGAGGGTTTTCCGTATGAGAACAGCAACTTTATGTAATACACGTCAAAAGTTCGGTCGGTATTCGCTTGGATCAAACCTATCCATTTTTGCAGAAAAAGCCTAATGCATTTTGCCTGCATACATTGTCCTAAACACTGAAGCCCCAGATCAAATGCAGGCTCTCTTTGCAATAGAAACACCATCAAACCGGACATCCTATTAAGGGAACATGATATTTTAACAGAATCTGCTCAAATCTATCAGCCAAAACACAGCAGCCCCAGACCCCACACAAGTTCTCTTTGCTGGGGAAATCACATTGAACTTGGTCAGTCTTTTTCTCTTCTTTTTTCTTGGCAGTACTTGGTCCATCTTGTTAGAATTGATCAATGAGAATAGAGAAAAGAAAGGAAAANAGCCAAAACACAGCAGCCCCAGACCCCACACAAGTTCTCTTTGCTGGGGAAATCACATTGAACTTGGTCAGTCTTTTTCTCTTCTTTTTTCTTGGTAGTACTTGGTCCATCTTGTTAGAATTGATCAATGAGAATAGAGAAAAGAAAGG